AACGTAGAGAGAACAAAGTTTATTAGTGGTTACCAGGGGCAGAAGGGAGAGGGAATGGGGTGGTTAACAGTGACGGAAATATCACACTGATTAAGGGTAGGGTTGCACAGTCCATTATTGTAATTGCTGTCAATAAGTTGTACACCTGTAAAAAGTTGAATTGGCAGAAGTTCTGAGATATACATATTTACAAGGACAGGAAAGAAAAAAAAAAGAGTAGCTGCTAAGGCTGCTTATTGTACAACCAAAATCCTCATGGGATTTGATTTCTTGGTTTGGAGGTTTAGGGTCATAGTCTCAAGGGACATCCCAGTTAATTGGCCTAATAACTCGCTTAGTGCTCTGTTCTACTTCCTAGCTGTTTGCATAGTGCCTGGGGTCTTAAAAGCTTGCAAACGGCCATTCAAGGCACAACTGGTCTCTATTTGGCTGAACCAACAAAGGAAAAAGGAGAGACAGGAATAGAAAAAGAAAATCGAATCTGTGGCTAATTGCCTCCATGAACAACTGCCTCCTCTGCCATGAGATCAGAAGAACTAGATGGTGCCCAGCTACCATTACTGACCATTTTGATCAAAGATTTCATAGAAGAATCCTGATCCAAAGGGGGAAAATGGAGAACAGCATTTCACATTCTCATGGATTCCTGACTTACTGGAGTCATGAAGATTGAATGAATTCCTAAAACTACTGCCCTGTGATCAACTTTAAACCTTAAACCAAAAATATCCCCTGAAGTCTTCTTAAAACCAAACAACAGTTTAGTTTTAGTAAAAAAAGGTCTGCCTTGAGCATTATGCTCCTTTAAGAACTACACATATGGGATCAAACAGACAACAACAACTTGAAAGATTAGATATGAACTTTAGGGGGCAGTGAATTTATGTTAATGGCAGAACAACTCAAAAAAGGAGGGTGAGAATGGTTGCACATCTTGAAGAATGTAATCAATGTCACTAAATGGTACATGTAGAAACTGTTAATTGGAGTGTTTTGCTGTGCAAATTCTCAAAAACAGCAAAATAAATTCAATTTAAAAAGGGGGCGGGGTGGGGAATGAAGTCCTGATGCATGCTACGTCATGGATGAACCTTGAAAACATTATTCTAAGTGAAATAAGCCAGACAAAAGAGCATATATGATGATTCAAAAATTATGAAATTTGATGAACTGTCCAAAAAAGGTAAATCTTTAGAGACACAAATTACTGATTGCCTAGGGCTAGGATGGAGCCCTGGTGTCTCAGTCCTTAAGAGCTACAGTGACTATGACTGCTAAACAAAAGGTTGGCAGTTCGAATCCACTAGCCACTCCTTGGAAACCCTATGGGGAGTTCCACTTTGTTCTGTAGGGTCGCTATGAGTTGGAATTGACTCAGTGGCAACGGGTGTTTGGTTTTAGGATTAGGGGCAGGAATTAGTGGTGACTGCAAATGGGCACAAGGTTTCTTTTTGGGGTGATGGAAATGTCCAAAAATTAGATTGTGGTAATGGTTGTACAACCCTTTAAATGTACAAAAATTCATTAAACTGTACACTTAAAACAGGAGAACTTTATGGTATGTCAATGATATACCAAGAAAGTTATTTTAAAAAAAAAGATCAAGGGGGAAGCATTCAGTTTTATAACATTAAGAATTTTGTCAGCTGTAGGTTTTTCATAAATGCCCTTTTTCAGTTTATCATAAATGGGTGTTTTGTCAAATGTTTTTTCTGCGTTTACTGAAATGATTTTTTTTCCTTTGTACTATTTATATGGTGTATAACACTGTGTTCCAGATGTTAATCCAGCCTTGCATTTCTGAAATAAATTCCACTTGGATGTGTTATATAATGCTTTTGTCACGTTGTTGAATTTCATTTGCTAACCTATTTTTGAAGATTTTTGCTGCCATATTCCTAAGTGATATTGGTCTTTAGTTTTCTTGAGACGTCTGTCTGGCTTTGGTATCACGCTGATACTGACCTAAAAGAATGCGCTGGGAAGTGTTCCCTTCCTCCTCTATTTTCTAGAAGAGTTTGTGAAGTATTATTTTTTCTTTAAATATTTGATAAAATTCACCAGTGAAGTCAATAAGAATCTGGGCTGTTCTTCGTGGTAAGATTTTTAAATATTAATTCATTTTTTCTTTATTAGAAATATACTCAGACGTCCTATTTCTTCTTGAGTCCGTTCTGGTAATTTGTGAGTTTCTAGGAATTTGTCCATTTCATTTAAGTTGCTCAATTTGTTGTCTTTATGATATTACAATATTCCCTTATCATCTTTTTAATTTCTGAGGGGTTGGTGGTAATGTCTCCTTTTCATTCCTAATTTTCATAATTTGTATCTTCTCCCTTTTTGTCTTGGTTAACCTAGCCAACAGTTTGTCAGTTTTGTTTATCTTTTCAAAGAACCAATTTTTGACTCATAGATTTTCTCCAGCATTTTCTGTTTTCTATTTAAGGAATTTCACTCTGATCTTTATTACTTCCATCCTTCTGCTTCTCTTTGGCTTAGTTTTATTTTTCCAAACTTTTTAAAGTGAAAGCTTAAATACTTGACTTGAGATCTTTCTTCTTTTCTAATATTAGAATAGATAAAAATTTCCCTCTACAGCACTGCTGTAGCTAACTCCCACAAATTTTGATATACAGTGTTTTTACTAAGATCAAAATACTTTATGATTTCCCTTGTAATTTCTTCTTTGACCAATGGGTTATTTAGAAATGCGTGTTTATTAGTTGGTTATTTTGCGATTTCCAAAATTTCCTTCTGTTGTTGAATTCTTACTTAACTTCATTGTGGTTGGAGAACATACTTTGTATGATTTTAATCATTTTAAATGTATTAAGACTTATTTTATGGACTACCATATGGTCTCTACTAAAGAATGTTCTATGTACACATGAAAAGGATGAGTACTCTGTTATTGCTGTATAGACTATTCCACAGCTTGTTTATTATGATTTTTTTTAAATGCCAATAAAAAGGAATAAACTACTGAATCATGTTACATCATGGATGAACCTCAAAAACATTACGCCCACTGAACAAGTCAGACATAAGAGATCACATATTATATGACTCCATTTGTATGAGATGTCCAGAAAAGGCAAATTTATAAAGACAGAAGGTAGATTAGTGGTCGCCTGGAACTGGGGCTAACAACAGGGGTTAACTCTGCATGGTCATGTAGAATCAACGGAGGGATGAAAATGCTCTTTGGTGATGGTTGCACCATTCAGTAAAGTTACTAAAAATGTTTGAATTGTATATTCAAGATGGTTGAATCTTATAATACGTAAAGTATAACTAAATAAAACTTTAAAATGTCACAATCACTCGTGGATATTTATATATTTAATACAAATTCCAATTTTTTTAAAAAAATTAGAAGTAGTCAAGGCATAAATTATCAAAAGGGAAGCATTAAGCATTTGTTCCATTTTCCCATGTATGAACTGTATTTTAGATAACCAAATAGCCTTAGTGATGAGGGCAAGCTCTTTACAAGAAATAACAGAATCAGAAAAACGACCATTTTGCAACTCATAGTGAAATAACTCATTTGGGAAAACAATCATCCATGGATGCTAAAACCATTAGGAAAAGGCTATGAGGAACTTGGGTGATCTATCTTAGCCTCACTAAATGTAAGGCAGCCACACATTATGTGTCTCCCACTGCCATGAATATGAAGTACAGCATCACCTACTCAGTACTCTTACGAAAATTTGAACCTGAGTCTACTTGAGCTTATATTTAACTTTCTGTTTACAAGAAACACAGGGGCTAGAGAAATGAGTTAAATGAAAACAATAAGACAGAATCAGATAAATCCAGAATGTACGATATTGTACAGGACAAGTGGGCAGGATTCTTCAGAAAAAATCTAGTAAGGAAGGGCACTGTTCTAGATGAAGAAAAGCAACAATGAAATGCCATGCCTGAAGCTTGTTTGGATCTGAACTCGGAACAATCCAACAGTGTAAGAACATTTGAGACTACTGGGGAAATCGGAATGTGGAATTATTGATATTTTCCCAGTTGATACTGGCTGCTATCCAAAATAATTTTTTTTTTTTTAAAATTTTGGATGGCAACCATCCAATATACCATGGATTGCCAGAAGAACGAACAAAACTGTCTTGGAAGAAGTACAGCCAGAACGCTCATTAGAAGCAAGGATGGTAAGACTTCGTATCACATACTTTGGACATGTTATCAGGAGGGACCAGTCCCTGGAGAAGGACATCATGCCTGGAAAAGTAGAGGGCCAGTGAAAAACAGGAAGACCCTCAATGAGATGGACTGACACAGTGACTGCAACAAAGGGCTCAAGCATAACAATGATTGTAAAAGACGGCACACGACTGGGCAATGTATCCTTCTGTTGTACATAGGGTGAGCCGGAACCGACTGAACAGCACCTAATAACAACATCCAAAATAATATTACTTTTTAGAGATACATACAGAAGTATTTAGAGGTGAAATGACAATGGTGTCAGAGATTTGTTTTAAATTAGATAATAGCAAAAGCAAAAAGATAAAAGGGACAAAGACACTGGGAAGATGTTGGCACTTTTGTCCACTCTGGAGAATGGGTAATCAAACAAATCTGTTGCTGTTGAGTCAATCCCGACTCATAGCAACCCTATAGCGCAGAGCAGAACTGTCCCATGTTTCCAAGGAGCAGCTGGTGGATTCAAACTGCCAACCTTTTGGTTAGCAGCTGTAGCTCCTAACCACTGTGCCACCAGGGCACCAGAGGATGGGTATAAGGGGTTAATTTCTCTTCTCTTTAGCTTTGAGTATGTTCAAAAACTTTCATAATGAAAGTTTTTCCATTTTTTTAAATAAGAAGAAAAATATATAACAATCCAAAACCAAAACATTTAGTCCTCAGATAGCAAACGTTGAGTGCAACTGCCACTCAACTTTCTGGGAACAGAGAAAACAATTTACCCCAGAAATAAAATGTGTGTGGTTCCAGCATCCCAGACTAGACTGACTTACCTATTGGCAATCCTTTTGAACGTGGATTGAAATAACTCTTCCATAACATGCTGCTGTTCCCGACAAAGAATTTCTGTCATCAACTGGAACAATATAGGACTTTGAGATAATTCCAATGCGTCTAGAAACTAGAAAAACACATAATAATAATTTTTTTTAATGAATAGAAAAAAATCCATTGGGTTTTATCTGTTTTGTTTTTCACAGTTCTAAATAATAGAGAAAATATAACAGAATTTCACAGAAAATTAACAAATGTTACTATTTTTTGACATTTTTGCATATTTAATGAATTCCTGGCATATAATAATGCTCATTAAATACTTGAGTGTTTTGTTTCTTTTTTAACTGTGATTTAGGTGAAAGTTTACAGAGCAAATTAGTTTCTCATTAAACAGTTAATACACAAACTGTTTTGTGACATTGGTTGTCAACCCCGTGATGTATCAACAATCTCCCCTTCTACATCCCAGGTTCCCTGTTTCCATTTGTCCAGTTTTCCTGTCCGTCTTGCCTTTTTGTCTTTGCTTTTGGGATAGTGTATCCATTAGTCTTGTATACATGATTAAACTATGAAGCACGTCCCTCATGTATGTTATCGTTGGCCCTATAGACCTGTCTAATCTTTGGCTGAAGGGTGAACCTCAGGAGTGACTTTAGTACTGAGTTGAAAGGGTGTCCGGGGGTCATACTCTCGGGGTTTCTCCATTTGTCAGACCAGCAAGCCTGGTCTTTTTGAGTGTGTGTCTGAATTTGAATTTTGTTCTACATTTTTCTCCCGCTCTGTCCAGGACCCTCTATTGCGATCCCTGCCAGAGCAGTCAGTAATGGTAACTAGGCACTATCTACTTGTTTGGGGTTTTAGTCTGGTGGAGGTTGTGGTAGTTGTGGTCCATTAGTCCTTTGGACTAATCTTTCCCTTCTGACTCTGGTCTTCTTCATTCTCGTTTGCTCCAGCCAGGGTGGGACCAGTACATGTACCTTAGATGGCTGCTCATAGGCTTTTAAGACCCCAGACGCTACTCACCAGTCAGATGTAGAACATTTTCTTTATAAACTATGTTATGCCAATTGAGCTAGATGTCCCCCAGGACCATGGTCCCCAGCCCTCAGCCCAGCAGCTCAGTTTTTGGACATGTCCATGAAGCTTCTAGGACTCTGCCCTAGTCAAGTTGTGCTGACTTCCCCAGTATTGTCTACGGTCTTGCTCTTCACCAAAGTTACCACTTATCTACTATCTAGAGTTTTGATTCTTTTAAGGTTTTGTAGATGTTTTTCCCTTTAAAATAACTTTCTCTTTAACCCCAGGTCCTGAAATTCCATGATGCTGTGCATTCACTAGAGGCCGTTTCATCCTGGAGCCCCATGGCCTTTCCACACCTCCTTCAGTGTACAGTAGATATTCCACACTGCTCCTCTATGTTCATATCTCTACTCTCCCATCTGCCATCACAATGTCTGCTAAATTTTATCTCCCATTCTGCTGTTTTTTCTTTTGCTTTTATGTAATTTCCAAGAGCCTTCTTTGTTCTCTCATAAACATAGTACATTCTTTCATATCTGAAGTTATTCTGTACAGTTTCTTTGAGGTTTTCCTGTCTCCCTTTACTGTTCCCCAGAGTGCCTTTTTCCTCTTGGTGTGTATCTTTCTTTGTTGGACACTTTCTTCAAATGTTCAGTGATTGTTTGCTCTCCCTTTACAGTAAGAAAAAGTTCTAAAGAGCTGCTTAGAATCTTTGTGGGTGCTAAAATCATTAGGTGTCAGGTTGTTGGGGAGCAGTATACTCACAAAATGCCAAGGTGACACCCCATCCATTACCCATTAATTGCAGAAAGAAAACACATCTTTCCAATGGAGAAGAGGAGGCAATCACCATTTTAACCAGGCAACCAGACTCGAGACCACTACTAACAGGATAATCTGACACTGACACTACTTGCCTTCTGATGTGCTATTGTTGCCGAGAAGATCAACCTGAAGCTCATGATCAAGCTTTAAACCTAACTTCCAGTTCAGGAAAATATAGAGGATAGAGGGACAAATTAAGGAGCACCTCAAGGGGAAAATAAGACAAAGATGAGACATCATACAAAAGGACTACTCTGGTTTCTTCCAAAAACTTGATGTTATGGAAAAATAAAAGGGATGACATGAATTAGTTCTAGATTAAATCATACTAAAAACATGACAATTTGATGCAATTCAAGAAACTGAATTAGATCCTGGTTTGAAAAATCTAGCTATAAATGGAGACCTTTGAAGAAATGTGAATATGGACTAGATAATAGATGATAATAGAGGACTGTTAACTTTCTTAGGCATGACAGCAGTATCATGCCTCATTTTTAGGATATGCATGCTAAAGTATTTAGGGATGGAGTATCATGATGTCTAATTAACTTGAAAATGCTTCAGCCAAAACAAACACACATACATATATACACAGATAAAGCAAATACGACAAAATGTTAACAACTGCTGAATATAAGAGATGGTTATATGGATGTTTATTTTCTTTCAACTTTTCCATTTTTTCTTTTTTTTAATGATGTTAAAATGATGGGGGCAGGGAAATCTGTGTGCATGGGTTGTGTTTGTAAACTGGCCCTTCCAAGGGACTGCATGGTGACTGACTCCCATGGACAAGAGACCTGAAGAAAAGAGTCAGGAGGAAGCTGCAATGCTTTTGTGAAGAGTCTCAGAAGTTACACAGCATCGCTTCCATTTAATTTTATTCATTAGAAGCCAAGTCTCTAAGGCCAGCCCACAGCAATGGGACAAAAATCAGACCTTGCCTCTTAATAGGATACACTATTACAGCCATCCTTGAAAAAATCTGCCACACCTATGCCATACGCTTATCTCCACCCGGAAATACTGTGCTTCTTTAAAAAGTCACCTATATGAGATCAAATTGTCAACAATTACTTTAAAACAAAGACAAGAATGTAAGCCGGCAGGGAAACTAGATTAATAGAAAGAGAACAACCACGGAAATGAGAATGTTCATGCATTGTAAAGAATGCAATCAATGTCACTGAACAACTTGTGTAGAAATTGTAGAATGGGAACCTAAACTGCTGTGTAAACCTTCACCGAAAACACAATAAATACCATTAAAAAATATATACATAATGGGGGGAGGGGGGTGAATTCCAAAGGATTCAGATATGCATCTGTCTACACAGATGGCCAGCTTTCAAAGTGAATTAAATTGAGTTCTTAAAGTTAGGATATCTCATTCACTTCTTTTTATCAACAAATATAACAACGACAACAAACAATGTTTTAATTTTATTTGGTACTCCTAAGAACTAACCTTTTTCATGCAGTCCACATAATTATTATACCGCAGCGTTCCCTGGGGAAACTCATCAGACTTCATAGGGAAATTAGAAACCACAAGCTTTTCAAGAACATGCTTAAGGTCCTCAAGATTTCCTCCAGTAAGATTGGTGAAGAATGGAAGAATAATTACAGCTTGACCCTGTGGAGCAATGCTGACATATGAAATTGTACTAATGGTGGCTTACACAGCCTACATAATAAAATGACTACTTTCTAAAGACTCTGCAAATAAAGCACCACGTGGATTCAACAAATGACTTCAGAATAACTTCCAGAGTACATCAAAGCCCAAACTGATTGTTTTATACACACACACACACACACACATATGTATTTCATCACAATAAAAAGTTTATTAAAAAAAAGAAAACAGCCTAATGCAATTCTTTAACCTGCCTTCCCAGCCAGAGGTCAGTTGGCTGAAGGGGCTCTATAAATGTAAATAAATAGGCTACTGCATGCTGATTCTGCAGTACTTTGTCCTTACAGAAGTAAGGGCCCCCATAGAGATGTGCTGACCAAGTGTTGCATGGAAAGAACATCGTGAATAACCTATGGGGTAGTTTACAACTATTCCTGTGAAGCTAATTCAGATCTTCACACTGAGCATATAAGAATTAGGAGTTGTTTCCTATCACCCTCAAGTGGCAGGTTAAGTTCCAAGATTCCCTCATGTTGAGAAGTGGGAAACTTGACTAATCATGCAGAGTAGAAAATTCCACAGAATTATCTATATTATCCAGTAAAAAGAGCCTTTTCATGAAGGTCACATTTTAATAGAACTTAAACTCTAAGTATAATAGGACTTTAAAATTAGTAACCTTAAAATTAGGTTTATTAGGTTCTTAGCCCTGAAATCACCATGAGATTTTATATTACTTATTAATAGAAAAATAATCGAGTAATAGTTTTAGAAGTTATCATTCATTATGTAACAATTCCCAAAAAAGATAATTTAAATCATACATATGCAAAGACAAATATTAACCCTCACAAGTGTAATAATCTCATTATGATTATACTTTAAAAGAAATGTTCCTAACTTTTGGAAAGACATGCAAAGCAAAGTGCAGATGCCTGAAGTTTCCTTTAAGATGAAGAATGGGGGTTAAACGAATAAGTTCATGACAAAGGGTTAATGAGGCTGGTGAGATACATGGGGGTTTATCAGTCTAGTCTCTCTTTTGTACATGTCTGAAATTTTCCACAATAAAAAATTAAAAAATCATAAATGTGCAAAAATTATAAAAAGGGTAAATAATGGAGAATGTAATCTGGAAAAAAACAATCTTTTTAATCAGTTACCTTTAAATGTAGACCCAACTTTGAATCAGCAAGTAGACTAGCGTATGTCCTGAAGACTTCAGGGAATGAACTGTGATTTGTATTAAAAGATACAGATGAATCAATCTAAAGGGGGGAAAGAAAAATATGTCACATTTCCATATATGCCTCTATTTCATTTAACACATTTTTCACGTTTAAATTTCAGAACTGGATTATAACTTTGTTCTTGGGTTTCAATAATATTTTAACAATTCTTGTTCTGAAATACTTTAAAACTGTCTATAAAGACAGTGCATTAAAGGTACACTGAAAAGATAAAGTATAAGAGATAACAGTAAGTATAATAAATGATGATGATGCACAATAACAGAAAATGTTGTTATAAAATGTAAGTTAAGGTAATCAGGAATCATCCATTAAAAATGTTTTTTACTTATCAAACCAATGAGCTTTTAAACCAACAGCAATCAAATTTTTTTAAAGATGCACATTACAGAATCCCAACAAACATGACTGCATTTTATGGTCTCTCAAAATACCTGTAAAATTTTTGCCAACAAGGCCAGCACAGCCATTTTACTTTCAGAAGCAGAATCCTGGGCCCACCATGACTCACATCTCCCCCAGTTTTGAAGAACTGCAGCCACGAGCTTCAGTCCTTGGTGTTTCTGAATGGCTCGATCCCTGAAGCTCTGATCTAACATACCATTCAAAACCGCACTCACCTGCAACAGGTTCAGATCAACAGCTGTATGACAAAAGCTACTTTCACTTCAAAGATATTCTTTTAAGACAGTATTTCTATAATAGATGTTTATCTACTTCACAACTCCTCAAATTTGAGAACAGCACTTTAACATGTAATTTTTCCAACATAAAGCATAAGGTGGCCTCATTTATGGCATCACTAAATTAGACACTGAGTTCATCAAACATTCAGTTTATTTTAAACGTTTTCATATCCATCACCAGCATCAACAACTGGTTTCTGGGGACCATCCATCACAAACAATGGCTTAAGCTCGCCAGATTTTGGAGGCATGGAGATCCAGGGTGACTCATAAATGACTCTCTGCAACTCTTGCAGTACACACAATACTTTAACATCAGTCATATGACAATTTCCTAGCTTTTGTGTAAGTCTATTAAATTTTTAACGTTTTTCTTTTTAGTCCTATGATAGTATACGTGGACACAGTCAAATAATTCCAGAGATATATTCTTAATTACGATTGTCTCTTGTCTTCCCCCCACCCCCCTGCCATTTCCGATACCCCACGGGAAACTCCTTGAGCTTTTTGGGGTATTTTCTCATTAATATGCTCATACTGCCATTGGGGCATTCTTTTTTGATTGTCACATGACAAATTTTATTTATTTTGTTGTTATTGAGAATAAGCACAGCAAAATACAAATTCAACAGTTTCTACATGTTCAATTTAGTGACACTGATTACATCCACCAAGTTGTGCACCCTCCTTTTCTGAGTTGCTCCTCCTTCTGCATTTTCCCTCTCTTGTTCAGGATTATTCTATGGAATCTTTGATCAAAATGTTCAGTAATGATAGCCGGGCACCATTCAGCTCTTCTGATTTCATGGCAAAGGAGGCAGTTGTTCATGGAGGCAATTAGCCATACATTCCATTCCCTCCTCCTATTCCTAACTCTCCTTCCTCTGTTACTTCAGGCTGATAAGAGACCAACTGTTGTGCCTTGGATGGCCGCTTGCAAGCTTTGAAGACCCTAGGCACTACACATCGAACTAGGAGGTAGAATGGAAGCACTAAACACTTTATTAGACCAATTAAATGGGATGTCCCATGAAACCATGACCCTAAACCTCCAAACAAGGAATCAAATCGCATGAGGTATTTGGTTGTACATTTGCAGCCGCAACAGCTACTTTTTTTTTTTTTTGTAAATATATCTAACACAGAACTTTTGCCTAACCTTAATCAATGCAATATTTCCATCACCGTTAATACCCTTCGTCCCCCTCCCTCTCGCCCCTGGTAACCACTAATAAACTTTGTACTCCATACATTTGCCTTTTCTTGTCTTTTTATGTAAGTGAGGTGATACAGTATTTGTCCTTTTGCAGTTGGCTTATTTCACTCAGCGTAATGTCTTCAAGCTTCACCCATACTGTAGCATGTATCAAGGCTTCATTTCCCCAACCCTATAGTATTTCATTGTATGTAAGTATCACATTTTGTTTATTCATTCATCTGTTGATGGGCATTTTGGATGTTTCCACCTTTTGGCTATTGTGCATAGTACTGCAGTAAACACTGGTGTACAAGTCTCTTTCCGAGTTTCTGCTTTCAAATCTTTTGGGTATATGCCTAGGAGTGTAATTGCTGGGTCATCCAGTAGTTCCATGTTTAGCTTTTTGAGGAACCGCCACACTGTTACAGCTACATCATTTTTGCCTTCCCACTAGCAATGAATGAGGGTTCCAATTTCCCCACATCCTCACCAACATGTTATTTTATGTTTTTTTAATCTCAGCTATCCTAATGGAGTGAAATAGTATCTCATTTTGGTTTTGATTTGCATCTCTGAGATGGCTAATGATACTGAGCAACTTTTCATGTGTTTGGTGGCCATCTGAATGTCTTCTTCGGTGAAATGTCTACTCAAGTCCTTTGTCCATTTTATGATTGGGTTATTTGTCTTTTTGTTGTTGTTGAAGTTTTATATATATTTTGGTTATGAGATTCTTGTCGGATATATGGTTTCCAAAGATATTCTCCCAGTAGATAGCTAGTCTTTGCACTTTTCTGGTAAGGGTTTTTAAATAAAGTTTTTAATTTTTACAAGGTCCCATTGATTTGTCTTTAGCTGCGTGTGCTTTTGTTACTATATTTGATAATTCACTGTTGAAAGCTATGCCTGACAGCGTTGCCCCTGCTTTTTCTTCTAAAAATTTTTACGGCTTTAGTTTGTACATTTAAGTCCTTCATCCATTTTGAATTTGTTTTTGTGTATGGTGTGAGGCAAAGATGCATTTCATTTTTTTGCATACGAAATCTATTTTTCCCAGCACCATTTATTGAAGAGACTCTTCTTTCCCCACCAAATGAGTTTGATACATTCTTGATTGAACCTCGTTTGGAAGATGAGGACTTAGTTCTTCCCCCAAAACCACCACCACCTTACATGCACACACTCACACACACTTACGCTCACATTAACATGAGCACACACACACATGCACACATACTTATGCATGTGCACACACATTTCCTGTCCCACATCCTTCCAATTCAGTCATATCCTAATTTTCGTCAGATAGATATTCAATATACCCATAATGACTATGTAAACACTGTTCACAGACGACCCAAGTAGTACACTTTCAATGCCTTTCCTTTGTTGTACAATATATTTATTGCTCTCCCTGAAGTTAATATTTGTCTGCTTTCTTTGCTGTTTTTGATGTGACTATCAATTCATCATCAAACTCTCCCAAATTAATTAAACTGCCTCAAATCAGCTAAACACATCAGGAAGTCTGTCAACGTCATCTGTGGAGTTAATCTCTTACAACTTGTCGAGCCTGCGCAGAGCCATGCTTCAGCCATGTGTGCATGTGCATACATGTACACGCACACGCACACCGCCATCGCCCTCCAAAGACTCATCCACTTCTCTCACCGGAGACCCTATTTCCTGGATCCGATGTATTCTTCCTTCTCGGCTTACTGCCTTGTTTGTTTTTTTTAAAATGAAATACTTCTTCTAGCAGCTTCCTAATAAAAAGGGCAGAAGGGATAGTTTTTTTGAGATGTTGCATACTTGAAAACACCTTTATTCTACTCTCACACTTCACTGATAATCTGGCTAGACTTAGAACTCCAGGTTAGAAGTCTTCCCTTAATTTTGAAGGTATTGGCTCATGGTCTTCTGCTTCTATACTGCTGCTAAAAAGACACATGTCTGAAAGGTAACCACTTTTTCTTCTTTGGAACTTGTAGGGTACTTCCTCATGGAGAGCCCCCAGGATTCTGAATCTTCACAGAAATGTACTCCAAGCGGAGCTGTTTCCATCCTCGTGCTGGACACGCAGTGGCCCCTTCCCTCTAGAAACTCAGCACCTCCTATCTGGTAAGTCCTCTCCGTGGCAGCGCCTCACTCTGAGCAGTGACACTGAGCTAGAACTTTTAGACGGATCCCAAGCTTCCTCATCTCTTCTCCTTATTCCTCAGTTTTCACTCTACTTTCTGTGACAGCTCTTCAAGTTTATCTTCCAAACTCATTTCATTTTAATTTCTGATTCCTATGCTTAATTCCCAAGAGCTCTTTTTCATTCTCCAATGTTCTTTTTCACTAGTGATTCCTGTTTCATGGATAAAGTGTCTTCTCTTCTCTCTCTGAGATCTTCTTTTCACATTTACATCTCACTGAGCAGTCTTCTTCCTGCCTGTGCCTCTCGGAGCCTCTCTCCCCAACACTGAGTTGCAGCAGGGCTCATCTGCCTGGACGGTGATGGCAGTGTCTTAGTTTTCTCTTAGGCTTGTCAGAATATTGCAAGATTCTGCCTTGAGGTATATATCTTATTTATCTAGTGCTGCTATAACAGAAATACTACAAGTGGATGGCTTTAACAAACAGAAGTTTATTCTCTCACAGTTTAGGAGGCTAGAAGTCCAAATTCAGGGCGCCAGCTCCAGGGGAAAGCTTTCTTTCTCTGTTGGCTCTGGGGGAAGGTCCTTGTCATCAATCTTCCCCTGGGTCTAGGAGCTTCTCAGCACAGGGACCCCAGGTCCAAAGGACATGCTCTGTTCCCAGCTCTTCTTTCTTGGTGGTATAAGGTCCCCCTCCTCTCTGCTTGCTTCTCTCTTTTATATCTCAAAAGAGATTGACTCAAGATATAAGCTAACCCTGTAGATTGTGTCCTCCTCATTAACATAACTGCCTCTAATTCTGGTTCATTAACATCATGGAGGTTAGGATTTACAACACATAGGAAAATTACATCAGATCACAAAATGGTCGACAATCATACAATACTGGGAATCGTGGCCTAGCCAAGTTGACACACATTCAGGGAGGACACAATTCAATCCATAACTTTATATACCTAGCTAACTATCTTGGGGAGCCAAATTGGGAGAACAGGCTAAGAGTCTTGAGGTTTAGAATTTAGCTAGGCTTTTACTTACTCTGTTTTCAAGAAGGTATGTTTGCCCTGACTATCCCTGGAGTCCCCCAGCTCAGAGAGATGTATCCTCTCCAGAGAATACACCTCCAAAAAATAAAATCCAAATCTGCTGCTGTCAAGTCAATTCGAATTCATAGCGACCCTACAGCTACCCTATAGGACAGAGTATAACTCCTCCATAGGGTTTCCAAGGCTGTAATCTTTACAGAAGCAGACTGCCAAATCTCTCATGGAGCGGCTGGTGGGTTTGAACTACCAACCTTTCAGTTCGCAGTGAAGTGCTTAACCACTGTATTACCAGGGCTCCTTTATAAGCCTTCAATCTTTCCTTAAGTACGGAAGGACTGGGCCTCAACTACAGGGGAGGGAGTGACCTGGTAGCGCTGGCCACTGCCAACCAGTCGCTGCGTTCAGGCTTCCCTGCCCCCAGAGCCTGCAGACCAGCAGTGATGGCCTCCCACACAGCCCTGCTGCAGCTTTCCTGGACTCTTCACCTGTCACTGCCTGTCCTTTTGCTTTCCAGCTTCCCAAATTTTGTCACTCTGGTCTTTTCTCTTTTTCTCTGTGTCCTTTAAGACGTTGCTTTTTTTTTTTTTTAAATTCCATTTCTGTCATTTTAGAGAGGCTTGAGGAAGGAGTAAAGATAAATATATACACATTTTTATCTACCATTTTCACCAGAAATTTGAATATTTTAAAATCTCAAAATGTTAAATTCTGAGTGTCAATGGTCTACCACAATTTTATTTCTAACATTAAAAAATACAAATTGCAAGTGCAGTCTACCACAAAATATTCTTCTACAACAGACAATAAGCACTGTTTGGAATAAATGCTAACTCAGTAGGAATTATATGGTCTCCCTTAAAACAGTCCTAGAAATTTCTGCCTACAGAGCAGGTTAAATTTCAAAATTCTAGAAGTTTAGCAAACCAAGAGGCACTACCTACTAAATAGTGATCTCGAAAAGCTCAATGTGAGGGAGAAACTGGGGGAGAGAGGAGTATACAGCAGTGGCGGTTCAGTCCCATGCCCAGGGGTATGCATGCAGGCCAGAAAGTGAAGACAAGTGTATGAACTCTGACACCAAGTTCTGACAAAATCCAGTATCCTACATAGCTATGCATCATAAAGTCAGGGCCTAGAGACTTTGGGGTACGAGAGAATGAAAAAAATAATGTTTCAACATCCATTAACATCCATGAACTCTTGATAAAGGGTGTGTTTTGTTTCTGCTGATTTTAAGCTTCCAGAAAGAGATCTTTTTTTTTTTTTTTTAGTATTTCAGGAGAAGGTCGACCCTTTTATAAGCATTATGTAAGAAAATATTTACTTAAAGAAAAACTTTAGTACCATTTTTGGATTCTCCTCGGATGACTTCATGAGCTCCATCACAGCAAAATCTACATTTTTCAACAATTCAGTGTTGATAGTTTCTGAGAACAAGCTATAAAAATACTCTCCATGGGAGAAGCTGATGATGCTTCTCTGCAACTGGCCGGAGGACGGCATGGACAACATTGATGTGCTCAGGAGGAGACCCACCAGTTGCTTGCACTGTGAAGAGCAAAGAAAAGGTGAAATGATAGGAGTACGAGTTCGCACATGTCACAGAGAGGCTTCCTGGCGAGCCGCTAACTTTGAAGTTGGAAAATCACAGTTAGGTCTAAAGAGAGCCTGATATGTGAATGGCAGGGTTCAAGTTTAAAACCCTAAAGGTACTGACAAAATTGCATATATTTTAATTAGCCTCAATTTACTAGGTATCCTTCTGGAAAAGAACTTTCCAGATCCATCTTTCTCCCAAATACCAGAAAATGGTGGTGGTGGTGGTTGTTTCAAAGAGAGAGTCTAGTGAGTATTTTTAGAAAGTTTAAACATGTAATTTGTGCAAACAGGTCATGAGGACAATTATGTGGTGCCTAGTGCTTTTGGAATCACCTCCAGAGGTCCTCCTAGGTCACCCACCCAAGAATCGTCCAGGATGGGGAAGAAGAGACCATATGTCAACACAGCTCAGCTTTATGTTCACAAAAAGGCCTCTGTCTAAAATCCCTCTGGAAGCAAAATGGGATAGACAAAATTCCACTTTTAAGAAGAATGTTGTTCTATTTCTTAAAAAATAAAGTCTTCTAGAGAGAAAGTCCACTCATATAAATCATCTACATTACTTGTGCAGCTAAGGCCTGACTTAAAAAACCCAATGCATTAGACGCAGCAGTGAGTGACCACCGCCCACCCAGGGCAGTGTATCAGATGACTGTGCTTCCTACCTGTCCTCCAAAAGCAAAGGCCAGCTCCAGGAGCCCACCGGCCAGCCGCTTACAGCTGGTGTCTAGCACAGGAAGACACTGTCCTTCCTCTCCAGGTGCAATGCCTTTATAAACCAGTGTAAGAAGTTTTGTGCCAATAGAATGATGCAGATCTGCAGACTAAAATAAAGCCAACACTAAAACACCCAGCAAAAGACACTTTACCAAAAAAAAAACAATTCCACAACTTTCATTAATTAAAATGAACTATGTTACCTAAAGCTGACAATTACCTTCCAAAGTATAAGCTTAGAGAAAAATTAACTCAACTTTGCTTTCTATATTTTTCATTTATATTGCCTGGCCACAAAGCTGACCATTACCTTCCAAAGTATAAGCTTAGAGAAAAATTAACTCAACTTTGCTTTCTATGTTATATTTTTCATTTACATTGCTTGGCCACAAAGACACAGTAGCAGTTAATCCCTAAAGTTCTTTAGCAGACTGTTCTAGAAATAATCAAATATCCTTTATTTTACTTTTATTTTATATTTGTAAATATTTATATTTACTTTCATAATTATATTCCAGATAACATCTAACTGTCTGGAGAAAGTATGCCTATAATTCCCATTTCAGTATGCCCTGTACAGAAAGGATGTTTAACATCCTTTATGAATAAACAGACTAAATAGTATAGTAAAGCTACAAGAAATGTAAAATCAAATTGGTTATGAAGGTTTACCTGTGATGGTAAAATAGCATTCAAGAACCCGGCTTTATGAAGGTGTTTACATGCTGACACCAGAGAAGCCAGCTTGGTCCTGTTCATGTGACCATCAGGATTATACAGGTCAACAACACAAAGGTCCTCAATGCTGGCCATGTCAGAGAAACAAAAGAAAGCTATGTGAGGTCTGATATCATCAAATTACCAGGATACACTGAAAAGCTGTGTACATTCATGGTATGTGCATTCACTAACCACCTGGTACTCAAACTCACTAACATGGTCCTGGACAGCAAATACAAGCCTGCACCAAAAAAGGCTCCAGCTCCTAACTTAGCCATGGAGATCAAATATGGTGATGAACCACACAGGAGTCTTGCGTGTCCTAAGTTGCAGGAAGGGCTTTGTTAAATATCTGATCTTCAAACAACTAATGGGTCCTTTACTCAAGAAAGGGCCACAGGATGCCATTACCTGGCACGCCAAGACACATACGCACGTGGCCTCCTGCCTACCTCTGCAATGGGATTTTTTCCTGGAGGTGCGTCTCTAGGACGTGTTTACACGGCAGCTTCTTCAGTGCTGCCATCAGGCTCACACACACTCCGGGAAGATGATCCTTGACCTGAACATCTCCGATGTTGAAACCCACGCTCACAGGCTCACACAGCGTTTGCACCACGAGCTTCACAAAGCTGGTGTTGAGTAAGTCCTTCTCAAGGAGCTGCAAGACATGATTTGAATCAAAATCCATTGTATTAGCCCACGGTTATACTTCCACTACAGTGAAAGGGCCATAACATTGGGAATTTTTGTCTGTTTAGAACAGGGGGTCAGCAACCTTCTTCTGTAAAGGGCCGGACAATAAATATTTTGGGCTTTGGGGGCCATATGGTCTCTGCTGCACCTACTCTAAGTGCCACTGTAGCATGAAGGATGCCATACACAATAAAACTTTATTTACAAAAGCAGGCAAGTTTGGCGTGTGGGCCATAGTTTCCCAGTCCCTGGTTTAGGGCATTGCTGGATCTCCAAGGCCTAGTACAGTGCCTGGCAAATAGCAGGCACTTTGTATATATTAACTGGATGGATTGGCTGGAGACTATTTATATAAAAAGCCTCACAGATACATTTACGAACATCTGTTAATGGATGTTTCCTAAGGCAAATGTTTGCTCATAGTATAAAATGCATCACAAAATAAAATATTTAGAAAAACTATTTTGTATTTTATTCACAAAATGAAAATCTGAAGAACATGTGGAATTCTTATTTTCAAAAATAAATAACTCCAACAGGCATGGAAAGTTCTAAAAAAGAAAGTCATAACCACTTCTAATAGGAATGTTATGGATATTTTTCAAATGCCAAGTGCTGACCTAAAACTAACAGAGCAGCAGTAGTGACCTTACCTTCCATCCTTCCGGGGAGGTGTTGAGCAGCATTGTGGTAAATTCCATAATGCGGACCACAACTGTGCATTTGCTGTAACTGTATCCTTCTCTCTCCTGTGGGCTAGGAATGTCACGCGTTGCACTAGAACCAAAGCACTGTTCTGCTGCTGTAATATCATGCATGGCAAGCTTCTCTAAGAAGAAAGCCACTGCTTTCAAAAGTGAAGATTGTGCTTCAGTGCCTAGGAATCATTACATTAAAATATTAACACATGCTTCCTTCTTTTATATAGAGAAATAACTTCATATGATTAATGTAAGATTCCTCCTTAAATATAGGTACAGGAAGTCCCCAGATTATAAACAAGTTCCATTTCTAAATCTGTCTTTAAGTCAAATTTGTATGTAAATCGAACAGTTAGGTACAGTAATGACAGTCAAATGTTTGTCTTAGTATACAATATATAGTGTACCTTTCTATGCATAAAAATCATTAAAGAAACACTTCCAGATACCCTAAAACATCTTCAACATAATAATACAGTAATAATAAATTTTTTAATTTTACTGTGCTTTAGGTGAAAGTTTACAGCTCAAGTTAATTTCTCATTCAAAAAGTTATACACATACTGTTTTGTGACACTGGTTGCAAACCCCACAACATGACAGCACACTCCCCCTTTCCATTCCGGGTTCCCAGTGTCTATTTGTCAGGTTCCTGTCTCCTCCTGCCCTCTCATCTTGCTTGCGGGCATGAGTTGCCCATCTGGTCTCAGATATTTGATTGAACTGGGAAGCACGTTCCTCACGTGTATTACTTTTTGTTTTATAGGCCTGTCTAATCTTTGTCTGAAAAGTGGGCTTCACCACTGGTTTCAATCCTGAGTTAGCAGAATGTCCAACGGCCGTAGTCGCAGGGGTTCCTGCAGTCTCTGTCAGATCAGCAAGTCTGGTCTTTTTTTGTGAATTTGAATTCTGTTCTATATTTTTCTCCCATTCTGTCCGAGACTCTCTGATCTGATCCTGTTCAGAGTGGTCGGTGATGGTAGCCAGGCACAATATTCTTCTTCTGGGCTCAGGATGGTGGAGTCTCTGGTTCATGTGGTCCTCTTGTCTTTTGGGCTAATATTCTCCTTGTGTCTTTGGCTTTCTTAATAATAATGTTTTAATGCACGTAGCGAAGTAGCACTCGTTTATTATTACGAACCATCGTATGTACCTCAAATTTTTAACATAATAGGCTTTACAGGGGTTGGTATGTAACTAGGGGTTGTACGTAAGTTGGATGTTCACAACCTGGGGACTGCCTATATAATACAGTCGAAATTAAAAAAAAAAAAAAAAAAAGAATAAGATTCTTCTCACAATTAATACTACACAAATAGAATTCAACTTTAGAATCATACAATAAGAACAGATTGAAGAAAATCATAAAACACTGCTAAAGAGATTAAAGAAGATTTAAATAAATGGGAAGATATTCCATGTTGATGGGTTGGAAGACTTAATATTGTTAAAATGTCAATAATATCCAAAGCACTTGTGAGCATCCATCTAAGATAAGATGCTCCACTGGTCTCACCCCTTCGGGAGCAAGGGAGAATGAAGAAAACCAAGAACACAAGGGAAAGATTATCCCAAAGGATTAATGGACCACAACTAACACAGCCTACACCAGACTGAGTCCAGCACAACTAGATGGTGCCCAGCTACCACCCACCGACTGCTGTGACAAGGATCACAATACAGGGTTCTAGACAGAGGTGGAGAAAAAAGTACATAAAATTCTAACTCACAAAGAAGACCAGACTTACTGGCCTGACAGAGACTGGAGAAACTCCAAGAGCATGGCCCCCAGACACCTTTTTAGCTCAGTAATGAAGTCACTCCTGAGGTTCAGCCTTCATCCAAAGATTGGACAGGCACATAAAACAAAAGGAGACTATAGGGGCACACCGGCCCAGGGTCAAGGACGAGAAGGCAGGAGGGGACAGGAAAGCTGGTGATTGGGAATCTACAGTCAAGAAGGGGGAGTGCTGACATGTCATAAGGTTGGTAACCAATGTCACAAAACAATATGTGTATTAATTGTTTAATGGGAAGGTAGTTTGTTCTGTAAATCTTCATCTAAAGTACAATAATAAAAAATTAATTAATTTAAAAAAAAAATACCCAAAGCGATCTACAGATTCAAGGCAATCCCAATGAAAATTCCAACAGCCTTTACAAAATGGGAAAAACAATCCTCAACTTTATATGGAATGGCAAGAGGATACAAATAACTTATGTTGAAAGAGAAGAACAAACTAGGAGAACTCACACTTCCAGATTTTAAAACATATTATACAGCTACAGTAATAAAAACAGCCTAGTACTGGTATAACATTAGATACACAGATCAGTGGAAAAGAATTGAGAGTTCAAAACTAAACCCATACATCTACGGTCAGCTGATTTTGACAAGGACGCTAAGTGCATCTGAAGCGAAAAGAAGAGTCTCTTAAATAAAGGCTGCAGGGAAAACTGGATTTCCACATGCAGAAAAATGAAACAGCGTAGTACATGTCTCACATCAAACATCAAAACAAATTCAAAATGGATTAAGAACCTAAATGTGGAAACTAAAACAATAAAATTCTTAGAAAAACAAGCTGATGCAGTGCTGTTGGACCTAGCTTTTAACAATGGATTATCTAATATAATAACAAAAGCACAAACAGCAAAAAACAAAATAAATCAACGGGCTCTCATAAAAATTAAAAACTTTTGTTCATCAAAAGGCTTTACCAAAAAAGAGAAAATACAACCTACTGAGTGGAAGAATTATCTTCTGAAACGATACAAGCAGTAAGAATCTAATACGCAAAATATAAATAAAACTTTGACAACTTAACAACAAAATGACAAATACCCAGGTTATGAAATGGGCATAGGACTTCAACAGATATTTCAACAAAGAGGACATTCAAATGGCCACCAAACACATGAAGAGATGCTCAATGTCATTAGCCATCAGAGAGATGCAAATCAAAACCACAATGAGGTATCATTTCACTCCCACTAAGACGACTAAAAAAAAAACAACCACAAAATAAACAAATGTTGGCAAGCATGTGGGGAAACTGGAGCCCTTATCCATTGCAGGTGGGAAAGCAAAGTGGTACAGCCATTGTGGAAAACAGTGTGGCGGTTCCTCAAAAAACTAAACATAGAACTACCATTTAACCCAGCAATTCCACTCCTAGGTATATAACCAAAAGACTTGAAAGCAAAGATTCAAACAGAGACTTGCACACCAATCTTCATTGCACCACTATTCACAATAGCTAGAAGGTAGAAACAATCGAAGGATAAACAAAATGTTGTAAACACATACAAAGAAATACTACTCAGCCAGTAGGAGAAATGAAGCCTTGATATACACTACAATATGGATGAAGCTTGAAGACATAATGCTAAATGAAATAAGCCAATCACAAAAGGACAAATATAGTATGACCTCATATAAAAAGGCAAGAAAAGGCAAATGTATAGAGGCTAAAGTTCACTAGTGGTTATCAGGGGCGGGACAGAGGGAGGGAAAAGGGGGGTTGTAGCTTATAGACTACCCAGTTTCAGTTTACAGTCATGGAAAAACCACACTGATTCAGGGTACGGTTGCATAAGCAACTGCTGTACACACTGTCAATAAGTTGTACGCCTGTAAGAAGTTGAACTGGCAAAAGTTGTGTGACAGACATATTTATAACAATGACAAAAAAAAAAAAGCTGCTGAGCCTGCTTATTTACAACCAAACACCTCACAGGATTTGGTTTCTTGGTTAGGAGGTTTAGGATCATGGTCTCAGGGACCATCCGAGTTAAGTGGCCTAATAACATGTTTAGTGCTTCTGTTCTACCATCTAGTTCACTGGGTAGTACCTGAGGTCTTAAAAGACTGCAAGCAGCCACTCAAAGCACAACAATTGGTCTCTATTTGCCTGGAGCAATAGAGGAAGAAGGAGAGTCAGGAACAGGATGAGAAAATGGAATGTGTGGCTAACTGTCTCCTTGAACAACTGCCTCCTTTGCTGTGAGACCAGAAAAAGTACAAGTGCAGGGCTACCATTACTGAATATTTTAATCGCGGTTCTACACAAGAATCCTGATCAAAACAGGAATAATACAGAACTGAATCTCACATTCTTATGGAACTCAGACTTTCTGGAGTCATCGGGGCTGGATGAACTTCCAAAACTATTGTCCTGAGATAATCTTTAAACCTTAAACCAAAAACATCCCTTGAAGTCATCTTAAAACTAAACAATAGTTTAAACTAGTAAAAATGTCTGCCTTGAGCATTATTTTCTTTGAAGACCTATCTAAACCAAAACCTGTTGCCGTCAAGTTAATTTCAACTCACGGCAACCCTACAGGACAGAGTAGAAATGCTCCATAGGATTTACAAGGAGCAGCTGGTGGATTCGAACTGCAGTTGAGCTCTTAACCACTGCACCAAGAAATATCTACAGGGGACCAAACTGACAAAAGCAACTCAAAAAATTAGATAGGAAACTTAGGGGCAGTTAGTTTATGTTAACTGGAGAGGAACAACTCAGAAAAGGAGGGTGAGAATGGTTGTACAACTTGAAGAATGTAATCAATGTCAGTGAATCATACATGTAGAAACTGTTGAATTGGTGTGTTTGCTGTGTATATTCTCAACAACAACAAATATGTAAGTAAAATTGGAAAAAAAATGAACACATCTATGGAAAGTCAAGGCTTGACTCTAAAACACTACATGTAGGAACAGAAATACGATCTTTTAAAGAGGCAATTTAGCAATTCACATCAAAAGCTTTAAAAAATGTAAATTTCTATCAGATGTAAAAATGCTTATATGATTTGATCCATCAATTCTACATCTGAAAATAAATGAAATGGTATAATTGCAAAGATACGTTTGTGAGATTATTCATTTTAGCACTGTTGTTAATAATGAAAGCAGAAACTACCTGCCTTTCAAAGGGGCAACTGGCAGACAAATGATGGCAGTGGTGGTTAAACTGGTGTGCATAAGCATTGCTAAGTCTATGGAATCAATTTTCAGGTCCACTCCCAGATGGACTTTTAAATAAAACTCACCTACCTGCAAACACGATCATATTGCTTCTCCTTCCCCATCCTCATCGCTTTCATGACCACCATTATGCTGATCATGAAAGACAAACCTTCACCCCTCCCCCATCTCACTGTAGTT